TGAACTTCAGCGCCAGAGACAGGAGGAGTATCAAAACCGTTACCGTAGTGACCCAAATCTGGCACGATACCCCGTCAAACCCCAACCCTACGAGGAACAGATGCGAATACATGCAGAGGTGTCCCGGTTCAGACATGAGCGCAGACACAGTGACGTTTCTCTGGCGTACACCGAGATGGACGATCCCCAGTTCTCACAGGGCCCTGGTCAAACCCACTGGAGGGGCAATCACAGCCCTCCTGGAATGGACCCAGCACATAGACAACAGCATCTGGATCCTGTATCTGCTGTGCGTAAGAGTAAACGAGAGAAGATGGAAAGCATGCTTCGCAACGACTCACTCAGCTCCGACCAATCAGAGTCAGTCAGGCCACCTCCTCCCAAACCTCATAAGAATAAAAGAGGCGGGAAAATGAGGCAGGTGTCGCTGAGCAGCTCCGAGGAGGAACTGGCAACGACGCCGGAGTATACCAGCTGTGAAGACGTGGAGATTGAGAGCGAGTCTGTCAGCGAGAAAGGTATGGTAGCAACTTACGCCTCTTATGCACTGTGAGAGGAACTTTTGGAGAATCTGCAGCTGCCACCATCTCAACTAAAGTTTTTGGATGGCAATTGAATTTAACCAAGCTTTGTCAAGAAAAACACCAAATGTTACGACGATTAAGATCATATTTGACAAGTAGCTAAATTAAGCATTGTACATGAATTTAACTTTTAACAGTATTCCTCTTTATCTGTCACAATATCATTTAGAAAATAAATAACTTTGGAAAATAAATGAAATACTAACAAATAATTTACTATTGTTTAAGGATGGACCTCATTTAACCCTTGAATTAAGTAGGAATGATGCAGCCCAGTGAGCCCACCTATTGTTTAATTTTGGTTTCAAATATAATGTGTAGGTTTCAAAAAGGTGGTTAGTTTTGATATTTTTAGTTTTAAACAAACATTACGTTACGTTATGTATATTTATACAAAACATTAATAGTTATGGTTCAAATTTAAATGATGAGAAAATGCGTCTTTCAGTTTCATTTTACAGACACCAAATCAGTGCCATCTAGTGGACAAAAGAAGGTATAACTCTTGGAAGTACAAGATCTGTGATATGGCTTGTGTTTTTCGAAGTTCTGGGACAAAAAAAGCACTATGGCACAAAAAGTTCTTGGAACAGTGATTAATGACAGACCAGTTTGGTCTGGCTTTTCGATACAATTTTCACATTGTTTTGACCTTGTTTTTGCTTTTTGGGGGGATTTATAAATTTGATTTTGCTTTAACATTTTTAAATTTTCTCATGAAAAATAAAAAAACTGTTCTTTCTCAATTTTTTTATATTTTTTCAGTAAAAAAATGACGAACTGTAATTGTAGGAATTGCACGTTTATTGTGCATTCCCACAAAAATGTTTTAAAATGAATTTATTAGAACAAATTTTAAAGTAGTAAAAAAATGCTCAAAATGAACCCTAAGGGTTAACATAAATATGTAAACAAAACTAAGTACCATTGGCAATCATGACTTATGCTATGTCCTGCTCACCGACCATCGAGCTTGAAACTATAACAATATTTCAAATACGTAGCATATAATAGAAATTCGTAGTATTCCAGAGTTTTCTAACTATAGCTTTGATAAATGCAAAAAATAAAGTCAATATTGTTCCCTGGTCAGTCTCTAAAGCAGTGGTTTCCAAACGGTGGTTCCCCCCAGCTGTTTGCGAAAGGCTGTAAAGTGGTATGTGAGAGAAGAGCAGGAAAAATCATAACTTTATTTATTTTTTTTTTATCAAGAGGAGTATAAGTTCAGGGGTGGCACGGTGGCGCAGCGGATAGCACTTTGGCATTCCAGTTAGAAGGTTCCCCCCAAAGGGGAATAAGTTGGAAAATTAATGAATGAATGAGTATAAGTTCAGCACAAAGCACAACTGACAAACGCACCTTGAGGAGCTGATCAGTACAGCTATATAGAGATGACCTCCAAGGGATCAGTAAAAGTTTCTCAAAAGAATTTCTGGAGACCCACTCGGCACACATGCTGTCAGATGAGTTTCTCTAGCACGTGCTTATGTGAATGTGCTTCTGCTTTAACAAACGTGAAACAAAATGCAGAGACTATTTAAGATTCAGTCTTTCTCAAAGAGAAAAGGATTAAAGTTGACGAATGGAAGCCTGTGTGGACACGGGGGGGGGATATTTTCATATATGTGTGGGTGCTATTCTTCTAACAAACACCTTGAAATTTTGGAAACTTGAAAAAACAGAGAGGAGACCTCACAGCAAAAATATACAAAGCTACAAAAACAGAGAAAAAACAAGGAACTATAATCTTTGGAAAGAGAAACAGTCGGGAAAATCCTCTTATTGAGAACAAGCTCAAGGGGTCACTTGCGTGGCTGGGAAAAGTTTGGGAACCACTACATGGATAATCCCTTTGATAATCCTTAGAGCCAGGATCTATGCAGTGTTAGAAGCATTGTCTCTGCGGATGTCGGGATAAAAAAGAGATGGTTAAATGATGCCACAGATGGAGGCGGGGTACCATTTTAACTTCTAAAACTTTAGTGCTGTCTTTAGTAGCAAAGCTCTTTTTGCTTTCTCAGTTCATGACCACACAATGGATCTTGTCACAGTTTTGAAAAAGGTTATTGGCTTTGACATTATTGGTTTTTTGAACAAAACAAGATTTAAGACACATAATTTGCAAGGTAATTCAAATGTGTTTTTCAGTTTTGTTTTTTTAGACTCCTAGTGTTAAAAAGACAATAAAACTCTTGGAAGAACAAGAGATGTGGATTATGTTTTGCATAAAAAAATACTTGGAACCGTGTAAATTAAGGAGAGATTTCCCTGTTTTTTTTATACAATTTTTGACCTTTTTAGGGAATTTATAACTTTAGATTTTTGTTCTAAAACATAAAAACTGAGATTTTGGCAGTAAAAACAGATGACATTTTCTACTCTTAATTCTATTTTTTTGTACAATTTCAGGGTTGTTGTTAAATTTTTGTGTATTGCAAAAGATATTTGTAAAAAAAATGTTCTAATGTTAAATTCTCAAAGCAAATTCTAAAGTGGCACAAAACCCTCAAAATGCCTCAGACTTCTAAAAACCTTCCTGAGAACATGCACTAACCAGCAATTTAATGGGTTGCAGTGGTATCAGGTACCAGTTAAATAAAAAAAAAAACAACTTATGATACGCTTTAATTTAAACATGCTTCATTTGAAATATTGTGTAAGATAAAAGGATTATCTTAGCATATACTTTCAATCTTAAAAAAAACAAAAAACAAACAGAAGCTTGGAATAAAGTGCGAATACTTTGTGCGTTATCTTGATTGCAGTGAATAGTCAGTTTGTTGCTCATTTCCTTTCAGAGCCCAATCCCACGTTTGTTCACATTCGAGTCTGAATATGTAATCTCTCTTCATTAGGATGGAATTGTAAAAGAAAAAAGGATGGCTAATTAATTGGCTATCGACTCTAATGCGTCATGTGGTTGATCCGGATGATGAAGATGAGAGTGCCAACTGCAGTGAAAACAAGTCCTGTAAATATGAGGCACTTATGTAAGCATCGGGAGGACAAAAGCCAGCGTGCAGGACTTGTGCAGGTTTTAGAGAACGGAGGAGTAGTGTTCTCTCTGAAGGTCAGCTGGGTTTTAGGGGGCGTACATCTGGCCAGATAAGAGTGTCGTTCCCGTCACTGTTATCGCACATCAGAGTCGGGCAGAGTAGAGATTCTGGACAGGGATAGCAGCGACAAGCAAACTCTGTTGCATTTCAATATGACATTGTTGGTTCAGTTAATTTTTGGGTTTATACAAATAAATTTAAGCTGAAAAACAATTGTTTGTAGCGACAGCGTTATGATTACAGTGAAGCAGTATGATAATGTTCATTTCAACAACAGTTCTCAGTTCATTTTACAAATCCTTGGAAGCTTTGTCCGGCTCTGTGGTATAGCGGATGGGTCATTGTCATTTCGAGATATTTTCTCTTTATCTGACCATTATCGTATTAATTGAAGATCCCTCTAGATCTGCAGTTTCTGAAATACTCGGACCAGCCCGCCGGGCATCACCAACCACGGCAAGTTATTTAAATCACCTTTCTTCCCCATTCTTATGCTCGATTTGAATTGTCTTGATCATGTCTACATGTATTGAGTTGCTTCCATGTGATTGGCAGATTATATATTTGCATAAATGCATTGGACAGGTGAACCTAATAAAGTACTCAGGGGTGACGCTAAAATATTTTTCACCTACTGTATTTTTCGCCGTATAAGACGCACCGGTATATAAGACACACCCAATTTTAAATGAGGAAGATATAGAAAAACAAAATTCTGAACCAAATACTGTAGTAAAATATTTTATATCAACTGTGTAAAAGTTAAGAGCAGTTTAAGAACAATTATATGCTGAACATGTAACATGAACAGTCAGTAAACAGTAAAAGCAACTAAAAAGGCTGTAATGTTTCATACCTGCTCCTTACGATCCGAGCGGAGATATGCGATGACGTCAGCCTGCACCGATGGCTCTGGAGTGTGATGGGAATTTTCCTTCTCTATGGTAATACTACCATCTAGTGGTCATTTAGAGAAATGTAATTATACTTCAGTCCCGCCCTTCTTCCAGCGCTTGCTTACTTTTAGAGGTTCGAGGTTCTTCTTCCAATGTGGATAACACGTGTGTAGGAAATGTGTTGAGACTGCTAAATCTTTACAATAAATAGCTGCATTTGCTGTGTTCTCTCTCAAACGTTCTCCAGTGTTTATTATCAATTGAGAAGGCATATTTTTTACCATAACAGGAGCTAGGCTGAAGCCGTGGCCTCTCTTACGCCTCTCCTATGGCCGTGACTGCCCTCCGCTCCGCGGCGTCTGCATTCGCCGTATAAGACGCACCAGCTTTTCCCCCTCAGTTTTGGGGAAGAAAAGTGCGTCTTATACGGCGAAAAATACGGTACTTATCTGCTGCTAACCTGCTTTCATGTGGCTCTGTCAGTAGAGCAGTGTGCTAGCAACACAGAGGTCTTGGGTTCTAACCCCAGCAAGAATTAATTGAATGTGTTAATTGCTTGAAATGTAAGTCACATTGGATAAAAGCGTCTACTAAATTCAAAAATGTTGTCACAAGTGGAACACAATATGTTTAGATTCAAAGGTTATTCGTTAACTGGAATTAAATGAAATTAGAAACATACAAATGCAATAATTTTAAAGGGCTCTAGACACTGGTCCAAATTGAGATTCGCACGAATCTTTGGATGCTTCTCAGCAGATTGCTCTTTGTCTGGGTGGAGGAAATATTGGTGCAATAATACTTTCCTATTTCCTGTATGGAGTCAGGAAATATTTGATTATCTGATGTGTAACTGACTGATAAATGTGTGGATTATAAAGAGTACAGGTCTTTGCACACTGAAGTTTGAAGTTTTCGTCCAAAATAATCGTACGATCAAAAATAAAATGGAGTTCACTCTGTGTCTATTACACAAACACACTACACAAAACAATAGGAACGGGTTACTTTTTTTGCATTTCCTGGAATTGTTTGGTTCTTCTGTGGTCCCGTAGGTCATTGTTTGAGACCCGATATGTGTCTCAACTCAGAGATTTATATAATAACCAAGCGCAGATTTTTATTACATTTTCATCATGCGTTTCCAAAGCCAGCAAGCTGAAGGGCCGACATAGTAAAATACACGTTGAATCTTTCACGATATTCACGATAAAGAGGATAAATTCTCTTTACTCTCCACACATTATAAATAAAATTATATTTTATTTTATTTTTGAGATTATCAGAAATTCATCACAACTGCTTAAAGACGCTTTTTCTTTTTTTGTGATTTGTTTGCTTTTTTGTGAGTTTTATGCAACGGGTTACGTGTGCAAGGCTTGTGGTGCTAAAAATTTTGTGAAATATTTTTGGTAAATATGCAACGAAAGTTTCAGACTTTAGTGTCCAAAGACCTTAACTGTTAATTCTGTCAAAAAGAAAAAAAATAATGGAGTTAATGGAGTTTATGAAGGTGTCGTAAAATAAATAACGTTGATAAAGTGGAAAGTGCTGTTAAAGGAGAAACCCTGTGACTCCTTCTCAGAAGCGCTCTTCACTGATGTTTTCTGTACGGTCTATGTTGCTGTTCATAATTCGTGAAATATCTTGAGAAAGTTAACTTTCGTAAATAGTGCCGTAATGCGTTCCAGCTCCTCCGACACTTCCCAACATCTCCTCACTCTCACATATTATTTTGAATTCATTTTTTTTCAGTTTTATTATTTTATTTTTATATTCAGTTTTACAGTGCGTTGATTTGCAAGACTGAAGAAAAGTTCTCTGGTGTTCCATTGTTTTTTTCAACTTATACTGTTGTTTCTGAGAACCATTGAACGGATGGATTAGGCGTTTTAAATGAAAAACTTGCTTTGACATATACGAAAAATTCTGATACGAAGGCCACCCTGGAACGGATTAATTTAGTATCTTTCGAATATATATATATATATATATATATATATATATATATATATATATATATATATATATATATATATATATATATATATATATATATATATAAATAATATAGATTATATCACAGAAAAACTTACAAAAATAACCTGTTTTAAGATGATTCTGATCAGAAGTTTAAAATCATCATCATGTGATGATCATAAATAGCCTTTTTAAAATCTTTATAGAGACAGATGTCAGGGTCAATTTTCTCATTGCAGGTCATGTCACTGTCTGTCAGTCTCTCTCTCTCTCTGTCCCCTTCACTCGTAGTAAAAACAGCATCAATAATTAATGATCCAATTAATAGTTTACACTGGCTTTTTATTGAGCTGTCAGAGTGATGGAGAGCCGAGCGCTCAGGCCTGAATCAGCACTTCCACCTTCTGCTTCAGAACAACAGAGAGACTGATCCCAGAACAGCCTAGAGAGAGAGAGAGAGAGCTTTTGCAAGAGCTTTCATTACGAGCTCACTGAGAATATGAGTGGGAGAAGAACACACTGATCACAGAACCAGACAAGTAGAAAGTAGATCTCAGAGGAGCTTTCATAGAACACTGGAAGATGCCTGATCTTTATCTAACAGTGATTATCAGTCATTCTCAACATGATCCACTTACTGACAGGCCACATCCAGCATAGAAAATTACATGGACCACTACTGGAGTGTTTATCTGTACTCTTGAGCATAACAACAATATCATATTATAATATAACGATACTGAGAACAGAGTTAGGTGGAAAGTAAAAGAACAAGATACAGATTAAAGTTGTGGGTGTTTCTTGTGAGGTTAGTAGCGTTCATCTTCTTTTGTTCTACAAATATTTTTTAAATACATTACACAACCTGCAATTGTTCAAAAATAAGCCATTTTGGTTATTAAATGTCTTTTTTTGTTGTCTGTTTCCCCCCACAGGCAAAAAAACAAGGTCAAAACAAAGTAAAAATGAAAGTAAAAAAAAAAGACGTACCTGTCCTAAACCTGTTCCAAAGACGTTTTGTTCCGTTGTGCTTTGTTTTGTGCCAGAACTTTGAAAAACACAAGCCATATCACAGGTCTTGTCCCCTTTTTTCCACCACTAGATGGCACTGCCGGCACTGATGTAAAATGAAACTGAACGACGATCTACCATTTTCTCACATAGAATTGGAATTGCCTGCAAATTATGTGTCACAATTCTTGTAATGCTCATTTAAAACCAAAAAATAACAAAGCTAATAAACTTTTTGAAACTTTGTCGCAATTATGACAAGGAATGAACGGAAGTGCAGGTATGAGCTTCAACAGGTTTATTAAACACACAAAAAAATGCACAAAATATCCGCAATGGGGAAAACCTCCCCAAATAAAGGACTGAGCTTTACATGCTAATATTCTAGCTTGTAGCTTACGCACAGAATAAGCTGCCAATGGAATGTATGCCCAGGATGACCCCGTGCTGAAAGAGTGCAGACACGGATTCTTTATCCCATGAGAGCAACACAAGTCACCTGCGGAGGGGCAATCAGGGTACACAAGGAACCAGACGAGAGCAAGGACGCATATAGCGACAGACAGGAACTAGACAGAAAATAAAGGAAAGAACACTGAAGAAGGAGCCAGGGTATTACACAATGTTTTGAAATCAAAATAAACAACACGTGGGTTGCAGACGCTGTGATTGGCACACGCACCGGTGTGTGCAGAGACATCTAGGGGTTAAAAGCTGGTTTTGAAGACTGCGTTTGAATCTGTACATGTCCTCAAAGCACATTAAAATTGAAACATGGGTGTAACTTTACATTGAGAATTTGGCAGGACAGAAAATAGGGCATTTTTTTAAAATCACATTTCCTGCATTTACATCGAATTCATTGTTTGTGATCACGGTACATAAATAATTTAGTTAATTACAATTTCTCTCAGAAGAATACTTGGTTGCCACTACACCAAGATCTTTTTTTTATGTGAACGTTGCATGGTGACCTTGAGTGTCTTTAAAGCATTAATAATAATGTTATTATTATCATAATAATGATAATGATGAAAATACTAGTATTACTAGTACTACTACTAATAATAATTATTATTTTTATTGTTATTATTAATGTTAGAACAACAATGCTATTATTAATAATATTTTAAAAATCAGAATTTTTGTTATTATCAGGACGTTCCTGTTTAATGCAGCTCATTAAATATAGGCTAGAAAAATAAACTAAAAATATTTTTAAAATATAGATAAAATTGGAAATTGTATAAATGAAATAAAATAAAAATTTTATTTTTGTTGAATAACAAAAGAAAATAACAGAAACATTTTTGTGTCACTCTGGAAAATCTAGGAAATGGTATGAAAATAAAATGTGAGAGAATTAATGTTTTTTTTTATTTAAAAAATAAAAATAATGATCTATCATTAATTAATGTAAATCATGATAATTTACATAATGATAATTTAATCTTGTAACAAAATATTGCATTGTTTGACATTTAGAGAGGGAACAATTAGTTGATTTAAATTCAAAATTTAAATTTCATAATTCTAAAAAACGAATATTTAGTTATTTAAAATTTTAAACTGTACAAAAACATGATCAAAAGTAAGTCAAGGACAGCATGAACACCAGAATAGTACACCAGAATATACTGTCGGTTTGGGATTGAAAATGATTTTTTAAACATTATTTAAAAGGATTTTCCAGTGGAAATGACACCCCTGGGAACAATGATCAATTCTCCTCCAAATATTGTGGAGCAGACTTTCCTTTCCTGTAGGTTTGTTGCTGTTGAATAAAATGGTGTGATTCAGGGTTTTCTCTCTAGCTTCTCTTGTGCACATTCGGAATGTTTGTTTGTGACTCTCACAGGTGATTTGGATGGCCACTGGTGGGATCACACAACGTGGCATAACAACGATGCTTCCTCCATGTCTTTGGTGAGACATGCGGAGCCCAGTGTCCCAGTCTCTCTCTCGCTCTCTCTCTCTCTAAATGTCATCTCATGGTTCTTTTGATTTATTTTCACGTTTGCATGTCTTTTGTTTCTTTCTGTTTTCTAATCCCATGTCTATAGGGGACAGTCAAAGGGGAAAAAGACAAACTTTTGAGCAGTCTCGCATCTATTCTGAGGGCCAAAAGAAAATGGTACGCTTTGGGGGGCACTCTTTGGAAGAGGATGCAGAGTGGTGTGAACCCCAAGTTAAAGACTCTGGGGTTGATACATGCAGTAGTACGACCCTAAACGAGGAGCATAGCCATAGTGAGAAGGTACTGGGACCTCTCCAGCCTGCCTTGCTTGAGATTCCGCTTGTTTACGCTTTCATTTCTTGCATTTTGTTCCATTTCATATGGTCTTGTTTGGTGTTTCTGGGAATTAGTTTGGGGAGATTTTCATTTGGTTCCTTTTTTTGGTTTTGACTAGGATAGTTCAGCCAAACGTGAAAATTCAGGCTCCAGGTAATATTGCAGTTTGTTAATATTAATTGAATTTAGATTTAAGGTACAAAATAGGAGTGCTTATACACAAGAATAAATTATGTCTTCAAAGAAATGTAAT